CAGACGTTTAATCCACTGGGGCACCCTAACCTTTACACAAATTTTAAACCAAGCCATGATGTATCTATTTTCACTGCTCTAGGATCTGGCTCAAAGATTTTTCTTTCTTTCACTTTCTACTTCTAATACCTAGTCTAGGCTGTTGCTAGCAGTCTGACTACAAAATAACAATTACAATAATATATATTTTTGCATATTTTCTTTATTTTTACTATAACATAGGGAACAAATATATATAATAGTCATAACAAAATGCACCAATCATGTAGACAAACAATATAAGACACCTCACATTATATGCTATAAGGACAATTACCTAGCTCAATTATTAGCCAAGAGTTAGCAAATTAGGTCCACTGGTCATATCCAGCCCATAGCTGGCTTATTTTTGCTGGTCCCTTGAGTTAAGAGTGATTCTTATATTTATAAAAAATTATTTAAAAAATAAAAAATACTCAATAGAGACTATAAGTAAACTGCAAAGCCTAAAATATTAACTATCTGGCACTCTACAGTAAAAGTTTGCTGACTCCTGTTCTGAGCTGGAATAAACAAAGACATCTAAGACATATATTAGCTATCCCTTACACATAAAACTTAAGCTATTAATACATCAAAGCAGACATATAGTTCTTTCAGTGATGGGCGCATAATGATACAGCCAAACTATCTTGTCCAGTCTTGCCTATTCTTTTTGACCGTGCCGAAATCTGTACGCAACTTTCTTTCTTTCTTCCTCTTAATACTTATCCTTAGATGCTCTCAGACTCATCTCCTTGCTACCACTTCCAGCTCTGAATAGCAATATTTTTGCTAAGTCCTTTCCAAGCTTTAAGTCTGACTTCTTCCAAATGCCTTCCGTGATCATTCTAGCCCTCAGTGGCTTCACTTTCTTGTCACACAACTTAATAATAACATATTATAATTTTGCTAATGATTTTCTATGTGTTTATCTAGTATCCACAACTATTTTCTAAACAACTTGAAGGAAGGAAAGATATCATACTGCTTTAGTATCCCTACTTAAAGAGCAGCTCATCATTCTCTCAACACATGTCCTCTCCCAATGTTACCTCTCTTGGAGAAAAAATTACCTGAGGACTGGTAATGGGTGATAAGTGATTGGAAATATCAAAGGATGACACCCACAAAGTAACTTGATGGAAGACCAAAAGCTACACTGCAAACTTAGTAAGTAAGTGAAGACAAAACTATAGAAGGATAGAGAGATAAGGATCAACAGATAAAGGGACTACTGAATATTCTGAAATAAAAGGAGATCAAAATATTAAAAAACATTAGGGGTGCCTGGGTGGCTCATTTGGTTAAGCACCTGACTCTTGATTTTGGCTCAGGTCATGATCCTGCAATACATGGAATTAAGCCCTGCATGGGGCTCTGCGCTGACAGCACGGAGGCTGCTTGGGATTCTCTCTCTCTCCCTCTCTCTCTGCCCATCCCTACCCACATTCTCTTTCAAAATAAGTAAATAAACTTAAAATATATATATTTAAAAATTTATAAAAGCTTACAATACATATTAAAAAACAAAATTTGCCTTTGAACACTATCGGCCATTAATGTCCTTTTAACAAGCAGCTCTTGACATTGATACCCATAAGGGCCATTTTATTCTTTATTCTTTTTTTTTTTTTTACAATGTGATAACTGAAGCACTACAAGCTTCAATGGGATAGACATGCACTGTATTCTAAGTCTTTAGATTTTCAATATTCTAAATTTATTTGAAGTCTGCTAGAGATTGCTAGAAAGAAAATAATCATTTATCTTTTCATTAGCTGGCGAATAAAATTGGAACTCGTGTGCATATCCCTACATCACTCTCAAAGATGCCACCTAAACTCATTTTCACAGAAAAATGCACCAAGTTTATTAAAACAATTTTTATATTACTTCATCAAATTGTATTATAAAAATATAGGCAAAATATAAGGTGCACAAGCCTTGCATGTATGAACATAAAAAAACCCCACAAATGTTCTAAAACAAGCATAAATATTACCCATGAGTTTAAACTAAAAATACTGCATATTATAAATTAAGTGCTTTTTACCTAAATAAAGCTACAAAAGACAATGAGAATATTAAGCCTCTATCCCTTCTTTTTGTACTGGGTTTAATAGTCTCTCAGTCTTTATATGCCTGGTTGGTCAAAAAGGTAGACAGTTTTTCTTAATTAGTAATAAAATATGCTTAATATTACACTGTAGAGATTTTACAACTAAAAAGTAATTGTTAAGTGCGTGGTAAAATGAATCAGCTCTCAATTACTCACATGACGAAGGAAAGTGATGACACAGATGACACCATATGATAATCCTAGCATCAGTTTTTTCAAATGCAGATCATTAATTTGGGAGAAGCAAATTGCCCTTATAATTATGTTTGACTGAGACCAGTGTAAGTCAGAAGTTTATTTTCCCTAAACATTCAATGATTTTGAGGATTCGAAAGGAAAAACAAAAAGGAAAAAAGGAGTTAATTCAGAAGCACACAGGTGGCTATAGGCAACATGCATGGGATAAAAAAAATTTTTTTTAGAGAAAGAAAACATAATCTATGAAGGAAAAGAAAAAAACAGTAAAATTAACATGACAGGGCTAAAATTTTTTTAGTATAACATCATTTATAAAATTTATTAAAATTTTGAGATTTTTTTTCTTCCTGTTAAATCATCCTTTCTTCCTACTAGCTGGTGTTATTACTAATGGTAAGAATTATCAGTGGGCCAAAAAGCTGAAAGCAAATTTTAGGGACTATGTTATAAAAGATGTGTTAAAAATCCTTTGTATCGTTTTCTGTTAAGAGCACCATCTGTCTCAATAGGCACTTTATCTCATTACTTTAGATAAATCAATTCAACCAAGAAAATACCAAAAAGGCAGAGGGGGATTCATTTCTCTAAAAATGAGGTTTAAACAAAACTTACACGATGGTAAGAACTGCAGATTTAGCAAAGCAAATACACAAAAACTAAATATTTATCCAAATGCAAGATCATAGCCCCAAAGCTCAATTAGTTGCTGCCTAACATATGGCTCCAACTCCTAAGTAGCATATGTTTAGCACTGGCGCTTGTAATAGCAAGGTGGTAAAATATTATAGTAACAGTTCAACTTTAGTTATTTCAGTATTATAATACAGAAAAACACACCAAGGCTAAAGGCTAAAAACAGAGACCACAGTAAGAAACAAATAATTACGCTGCTCAGTTGTAAAAGTCCACACTGAACACAGCTATGAGGATTATACTGTAGGAAAAAAAATCGTGTCAGCTTATTATTCTTAGAAGATGCTCAGGCACATAGGTGTCCAAAGAAAGTTAAATAAAATTTCACAAAAGAAAATCTCTAATTGAGGATTCCTGACATCCTAGCAACCATTACACACCTCCCTCTCCCCCAAAATATCTCAAGGCTTTTAATGCTAACAGTTTAATAAAAGAACGATTAACAACTACATTAATTAAAAGAGCCACCGTTCTGCTCCAGATTGTATGACAAAATTATTTGTTAATTTTCCTTTACCTAACGTATGGCGTCCTTCCACAGCCGTGTCAAAAGTTCAAAGATCCAGGTTGTTAAACAGGGCGAGGACTGCAGCCTCGAGTCAATCTCCTGACCGAACAGGTGGTTAACTCAGGCGGGTAGAGGAACTGCCAGGTACTGGCACCAGCCAAACAGGATCAAACACACAAGGGCGGGTTTTCGAGGTTTTAACCCCAAGATGAACGGGGGAAACTCTCTTCAGAAAAGCGTTCAAGTTCGGCGGCTGCCGGGTGGCCGAAGCCCAAGGCGCGGCGGCAGCTCGGCGATCTTATCCCTTGGGCTCCGCGCTCGACCCCCGAGCCTCCGGGAGCGGCGCTGCTCACCTCCGGCCGGGGGGCGGAGGGAAGGCCGCCGGCGTCCCCGCACCGCCTCCTCTGGCTAGCTGCGGGGCCGCAGTCGCGCCCCCGCAAGCGCCTCGGGGCAAGACTCGGGCCCGGCAGGTGCCGGACGAGTTGACGGGTCCTGTCCAGCCTCCTCCCCCACCCGTCCCCCCCGCAGCCGATACACACCCGCTACTACCCTCTGCCCATAGCGCGCCCAGAGGACGGGATGGGCCGGGCCCCTCGACGGGCCCGAGCCCCGCTCGGCGCCCCGGCTCCTCAGATCCAGCCTAACGGTTTCCGTGGCGCCTGCTCCGGGCGGGACGGGAGTGGGACGGCTCGGTCTCCCCCGCCTTTCCCGAAGGGAGCGCCCGCGCTCTCACCTCCGAGTCACGCCGCTCTGAGGCGGAGGAAGGCGGCTACCCTGGCGCCTCTTCTTCGGGTTCCTGATCGTTCTACCTCAGCGGCAGAGCCTGCTCTCGGGGCCGCTGCGGCCGCCGGCGCACTGACTGTTGGGGTGGTTTTCCGGTAGTGACGGCGCCGCCTCAGCCCCGCTCTTCGCTCCCTCTCCGCGTAGCTCCCGCTTTCTGTTTCACCCGAGGGACCACGAACGCCGCCGCCGCCATGCTTACTACGGAGCCGGGAGGAGGAGCCCAGAGTCGGCGCGCCCAGTGCGGCTGCGCGAGCCTCGCCGACGGCGCCCCCGGCCAGCCCGGGCCCCGCGTCCCCGCCCTGCACCCGCTACCCAGCGGGTCTTTCCCCGGAGCGCGAGTCGCCCTCCAAGCCGCTGACACTTGGCGTTCGAGAGCCCGGTCGCTGCTCCCGGGGCGACCACCGCTCTCCCCAGGGATACAGACTGTCCTGAGGCCTGGCTGCGCTAGGTTCGACATAGCATCTGCCGCGGCCAGCCTGCGAACGACACTGGGAAAATGTGGAAGTTAATTGACGTTCCTAGGGCCACTCACGTAATTCTCATTCCAAATTGTAGGAGGCTCCCCCTGAGACTCGCCGGGTCCGCCTCTTTCCGAAAGCACAAGAACTTAACGCTGGCAGGTGCTTTTAAAGACACTCCCCCTCAAGGACTAGGAAGCCACGTGAAGTGGGTTGGATGTTTTCCGTCCTAAACACTTAGAGCCCGGAATCTCTACAGCAAGCAAAAATACTTATTTACTTCAGTTCAAAACGTGGGGGTTAGTTTCTTGGTCGGTCCCCCGTCAAATCGCTTGGAAACGCATTGCCTTAATATGTGCAACAGCACGAAGACTTAAAATCAGTAAGTAAAAGAGCAGAGATTCTTATAAACCTCCAGCAATTGGGGGCGCTGCAATAATTCCTGAGGGCTGGCCAGGGCTGCTTACTTTTGCAGACTCTACTGAAGGAGTTGGGAAGTGGGGCGGGGGGGGGAGGGGTAGTCCTTAGGACAGAGAGTACAACCTCAATAACTGTCCCTTTAAAAACAATGATGAATATAAACAGACTCCCTGTTCTGGCTTTATTTCACTTAATTAATTAGTTGTGCTGTCTTTAAAAATAGCAGTATTTTTATTTTAAACCTTTTACAGAAATCCTTTTAAAAAGTACTTACTCCCTACATTCTTAAAGAATACAGTGGTTAATGAAATCCTTTGCCGATGATTGACCATCAAATGCGATGCCTTGGCCTTATGCTAAAGTCTCAGGGGATTGCTGAGTATAGGATCCCTATTTTGGCGATCCTCCTTTTTTTTTTCTCTCTTTGGAATATTCTCATCGCCTTTTCTAATAATCTGTCACTGCTTCACATCTCCTCATCTGTCTATCCATTCTGAGCCTTCCTCTCCTCCTTTCTACTTACTGTTTATTTTTTACTGTTTTTTTCTTGATAGTGTTTCTCTATGGCTCCAGGTGATGATTGATCAGATGTTTATATCCACAGCCAGCTAATGAGAGGATCTCTTTCCTCCCATCAGTAAATAGGACAGTGACTCTATATCAAGTGGTATCCTGAGATATTTTTATTGCTGTTCACTATCAAAAGTTCTTTCCCTTGGAGAGATGTTTCCTTAACAAGAGTTTTGGCCCTCTTCCAGACAAAATTGCTGGAAAGCTGATCTCTGAATAACTGAAGCATAACTGTGTATTGTTTTAAAATATGAGGACTTATCAGAATGTGAGCAAGTTGGGTGGCTTCTCCATATTACTACCGCAGCTGTGTTTGGTCTGAGACTAAGCTAGTGGTTTCCAAACCTAACTCCAAGCTAGTAATTTCCAAAGCTTTCTACTTAGGAGCTTTTTAAAAATCCAAATGGTATTTTTTTTTTAAAAAACCATATTTTTAAAAAGTATTCTGGGCATACCTACGTGTATAGGCAAAACAAGGAAGAACAGCTATTTCAAAGGAGACTAAGACATAGTTCCAGAATATCCTTGAAGTAGATGTAGAGATTATAGTCAACAATATGCAATGCTGTAAGGTTGACTCAAGTGAGGACTGGGGAATTTATGTCCTGTGGAGAGAATGAATCATACACACAAATAACCCTAACACAGGCACCAATATGAATTCTCTGGGAATCCAGAAAGGGACAAGAATTTACATCAGCTTTGAACAAGTCACTTCTCAGTGCTTCATTTTTCTTATCAATAAAATAAGGGTAATTTTCAATCTCTTTAAAATCTCAACAATAGTCAACACTTTGACCAATTATTTCTTTGAATATTACTTCTTCCTTTGGCCCCATACTCTTTTATTTTTTCCCTACACTTCTGAGTACTGTTTCTCTAATTCCTTTTCAGATTCCTTCTCCTCTCTTGAGCTATTAAATATAGGAATGCTTCACAATTAAGCTTAGGTTATTTTTTGTTTTCATTATAATCTCTTGCCCTAAACATCATCACCCAGACCAATGGCTTTAGTTATCTATATGCTGATAATTTTCACATATTTGTCTCTAGTCCAAACCCTTCCCCTGAATTCCATATCTAATACCAACTGTTTTATTGACATGTTCACTTAATGTCTCAAAGCTACAGAGTTTAATCCAACTGAGTTCACAAGCTCTTCTTGTTTTCCTTTCTCCTGATCTCCAGTTGTTCGAATCAAACAAGTAGTAGTCATCCCTGATATCTCCCTCATCCTCATTTTCTATATTCATTGTAGCACCTAGCAATTTTATCTTCCAAATCTCTCAAATTGGTCCACATTTTACCAGTTTTCACCAATCCAGTCTGGTCTCACTGCATACAATCTAAGCCCTTCTGTTCATGCTCCACTTTGCAGCCAAAATGATCTTTTTTTTTTTTTTTAAATATTTTTCATTTATTTCTAGGAGAGAGAGAGAGAGACAGCGTGAGCAGGGGAAGGTCAGAGAGAGAGGGAGACACAGACTCGGAAACAGGCTCCAGGCTCTGAGCTGGTAGTCAGCACAGAGCCCGACGCGGGGCTCCAACATACGAACCGCGAGATCATGACCTAAGCGAAAGTCGGACGCTTAACTGACTAAGCCACCCAGGCGCCCCCAAAAATGATCTTTCTAAAAGAAAATAAGACGATGTCACTTCCACATAAAACCCTTAAACAGCTTCTTATTGCTCTCAGACTAGAATTCTTAAGGTGGCCTACCAGACTGTGTGAGGTCTTGCCTTTTCCAGTCCCATCTCCTACCGGTTTCCCCTTGCTTCCTGCATAAAGACTTCCTGACCCTCTTTTAGTTTCTCAGATACGCTGTGATCTCAAAAGCCACAGGCTCTCTGCACATTCTTGTCTTCTTCCTTATAATCATCGTATCTCATCTTTACTCATCTGAGTAAAAAAAAACTTGTCTTACTTCCCAGACAAGTTCAAGACCCCTTGACGTCAGCTTTCCTACCACAGATGTACATTTCCCCCTATATCTTACCATAGTTTGCAGCATTGTGGTATGTGTTAATACTAGTACAAGTCTGGTAGAGGAAAGGGAGGTGAAAGCAATTGATCTGGAGATAGACCAGTTAAAGCAGCCAGAAATTTTTGTTTCTCTCTGAGAAGGAGTGTGGTATACTGTAGGGGAGGAGAGACTTTGGAGTCATGTAAATCTGAACTTGAATCTCAGCTGTCCTACTGACTAGTCGATCAATCTTGGAGACATTATCCTTTGGGCCTCATGTCCTCATCTGTAAACTAAAGATAAAATGTCTAATTTACAGGATTAAATGGCATAATGCATGAAAATGCCTGGTACATGTGTGATGCCCAATAAACAAATTACAGCTATGTGATTGGTTGTCCTGGTTAATTGTGACCTGGTGAGGTAAAGGAAGTACAGAACCTTCTTCAATATTTGCTAGTATACATAGGAAGGGACTTTGCTACAGTCAATCTTGCTCCAAATACTTGATCCTGTTGCAATCTTCATTCCTCACTGTGGTTTCCCAGCCACACTTTACTCCACGGATGGAACAACTCCTTCTCTAAAAGCAAAGGGAACAAGGTACCAAATAGGAAGCAACTTGACATTGAATGTTGTCCATTCCCACTACATGGAATTTCTCACTGGCCATCATTCTCCTCAAACCCCATCCTGTCACTATGTTGCTGTGGACCTTCACTCTAACAAGAACCTTCTCCACATTTTTCTAAATTTCTGGGACCACCTAAAGCCATCCCTTTAAAGCTACCTGGGGGCGCCTGGGTGGCTCAGTTGCTTAAGTGTCCAACTTCCACTCAGGTCATGATCTCAGAGTTTGTGAGTGTGAGCCCCATGTCAGGCTCTGTGCTGATAGCTTAGAGCCTAGAGCCTGCTGGAGATTCTCAATCTCCCCCTCTCTCTGCCCCTCCCCCACGCTCTCTCTCTCTCTCTCTCTCTCTCTCAAAAATAAATAAACATTAAAAAATCAAAAAAATAAAAAATAAAGCTACCTGAAGACAATTCTCAAATTCTTGTTAATTATTCAAAGCAATGTGGTTTTTTGTTTTCTGCCCTCATTTTTTATCCAGAATACCTTTGGAAACTTAAGCCTTCTTTTCAAAATAAAAAAAGATGCATTTGAGTGATTTACTGTACTAAGGAATGACTCTGTTTTAGAGAAGTAATTCTTAAACTTTGGCATGAATAAAAATCACCCAGTAGGCTGACTTAAGATACGACGGTTCTATCTTGTGCCCCCACACCAAGAATTGGCTTCAGGAATGTGCATTTTATAAGCACTCCAAGAGATTCTGATTAGGGTAGTCTATGGGTCTTACATTGAGCATCTTAGAACAACTCAAACGGTGTCAACTTTCATAAATAAAATGGTTTCTTTCTCTTATGACATGGAGTTGAATTGAAGATTGACTCAATTGTTCAAGAAAATGGCTCATCTATGATTCAAGTCTTTTATATTGTTTGTTCTTTATAGAGAAACCAATTAGGAAGGACCAAGGAATTCTTTAATCACAAAATGGTAATCCTATTAGTCCAAATTTGTCAATGTTAATGATATGGTTTCAAAGTAATGCTGCTAGAGACAGTCTTACTTCCACAGAGGGAAAAGTCTTCTCTGGTTACTGGCCAGGACTCATTGAATAGGTTCCTGACCTGGAGGGGCTATACAAGAATAGACAGATTATAAGGATTTTCTCTAGGTTGAAAAAATAAGTTTTCTATATCTGTCTTTTAGACTGTCAACAGTTCTTTGATGTTTTGTACAGCTTTAGGAGGCTCTGATAGCAGCCCTAGGGTTGAACACACCATGATCATTATCCAGCATAACCAGATGACATATGAATCAATTTTAAAGACAGAAAAGGAGATAGTCATCTATAAGGATAATGAGGCCAAAGATGACTTGGGATTTGAAAAAACTATTCCCAAACTACTTTTTTCTTTTCTTTTTTTCAAAAAAGCAAATTTCAAAACCAGAGCAATACATTATCTATATAGCAATGAGATTTTCATCTGGAAATTTTTTTTTACAAATTAAATGAATTAAGAAATGAAAAATCAGATAACCTAAATTGTCACCAAACTTAAAGCTTTTCCTCAAATTTCAGAAATAAATATTTAAACCAATTTGCACTTTAAAGTTAGTAGACAAACTATCCTAAGTAGTATAAATATCTTTATACAATAAGTTGCCTTTATTTTTTACATATAATATACAAAAAAACAGGCATCGTTTTTGATAAAGACAGTGAGGTAGAGTAATGAGAAAAACTAGAGAAATTGTTTATAAATTGAATACTTTTAGTGAGGTAAATAAAATACTAACTTTATTTCAAATTTTTGTGTATTAAATTTTTGAAAACCAAGGCACATCTGAACTTCAATATTACTTTCTCTTTACAGTGTACATATATACAGATATAAACCCAGCACTTTTATGTTGAAAAGACAAAAGCTAAAATTGGTTAGAAATAATGATTACCAATACTAAAACAGAATAAAATAGAGAATGATTTAAAAAATAACAGAAGATGACCTTTATCAAATAAATAGCTTTAAATTAGAGAAACTAACCACTTAAGCATTGGAAATTTAAATGTAGCTCATTTTCCCAAGCTACAGCAGACTGAGAATAAAAATAGGGTTGTGGTAGAACTCTCAGAGACTACTCTTTGAGACTACTCACATCCATAGTTAAATTTCTTCCAGATGATTCTAAGAATCCCAAGAGATCTATGCAGGTACACTCCAAGAATTGGTCCTCTGAGCAATTCCATGGCATTCATTGTCTTTCTTCTCTCCTCCTCTGGCTTATTGAGGTGTTTTCTTTTATTGTTTCCAAAGCCAACAAGTTCCCTGACTGCAGTGTTGTCTGTGCTGAGAATACCAATCTCTGACTGGAAAACTGTACCTTGGTTTTCCAGGGCACTATCTCCTTTTGCACTTGTCTTCAGCTCTCAAAATCCCATGTACATCATAGTGAACAATATAATTATATAATTTGTTTGAAGCTCTAGAACTCGGGCATGAATTCATGGAATAGAGAGCATGTTGCACTAAACTTTTTCCTCTAACACTGGGCAATTGACCTTGAAGCAAACTTTTCGCATTTCTCTTCACTTGGGATGAAGTTTTTTTCCTTGCTCTCTAAATAGCCTGCTCTACCAGCTCTATGGACATGCCCAAACATGCTCAAATCCTAGGGCAGTAAAATGGTTTGAGCTCAAGCTGTGACCCCAGCTACAAAAACAATCAAGCGCTTCAGATGAGGGACTTGGATGTTAATGAAATTTTTTACTATATTAATTTTCTTAACAATAGTATCTATTGACATTGATATTACACTAGGCATTTTAATATAGAATAAGAGTAAACTTCTTTATTATAAGGATCTAATTTAAATTGATAATCCAAATATAGTTCAGAGAGGGGTACATAGCAGAGGAGAGAATAAATCAAGAAATACTTATAGAATAACTTTTATATAGAAGCCTCTGTGCAAAGAACAAATGCCCTGACCTTAACAAATTTACTTTTTGTGCTGATTGTTTCTCTTTTGCTTTCAACTTCAAGATCATCCTTTTATGCTGTGCTCTGGGATATTGGGGCTAGGTCTGGAGACTACATCCCCCAGACCTTCCTCATCAGGATCACCTACTGGAGGCTATAGTAACTAGAGAGAGACTGGAAGGCAAGGAAAGAAGAGACAAGACCTGCTTCCTATTTGTATGTAAATCTTGTCAAAAGGTAAGACCTACAAAGTAGCCTCAGTGTCTTTTGGCATATTTAGCAGTGGTTGTGCCACATTACTTCCTGGCTACTTGGACTACCCAACTGTACCCCCTTGTTAGTGTAAGTATCAGCCACACAACACCTCCTTTAGAGACCTGAGTATTAACTATATGATGACCCCCTTCTTCCAAAGCAACTAAGTTTTTCTCATTTTGTTTTCTGCCCCCCTCTGACTGAGCCACCCAGGTGCCTCTCTGCCCCCCTCTGAAGACCAGCAGGTGTTAGCTACTTCTTCCAGAATTCCCCATTTGCCCCTTCAGTTTTTCAATATCTATGTGACTAATTTCTTGAATTAAATCCCTCTGTTTGAAATACCTACATGGTTTCTGATTTTCTGCTTGAATTTTGATTGATAGATTTTAACCAGATAGATTTAAAATCCCCAGTTAGGGAGACAAAATATACCCATGCATAAAGACATTCAGAGAAATAATATTTGAATATTATATGAATATGAATATGAATTGTATGAATATGAATAGCTCGGATACAGTTTGCTACAGGGGTTCAAAAAGGCAAGCAATCAGTTGCTATGGGATGATCAAACACAGGCATTATGCTTTTTAAATTCAACTTCTTTTACTTAATCTTCAACACTAAGATCAAAGTACAACTCTCATTTTATAGATGAGAAACTTTGGTTCTGAAAGGCTAAACATATGTTCACATACATACAGCTAAGAAAGTAGCAGAGCTGATTTTTCATAGTTTGACTCTAACACTTTCTTCCACTAGTCCATGTTAGTTCAGGAGGGGTGAAATTGGAGGTGAACCTTGAAGAATGGGCTTCAAATAGAATGGTCCAAGGAGAGCACTTTAATGGGAACAATAGCTAACAAAGAGATGAGATTGGGAAAATTCCAAGTGTACCTGGGAGTAAGAAATAAACCTATGCAGATGTTTGAGTCAGAAGGTATGGAGATACAGGGCAGAAAAAGTAGGTTGGGGCCAGATTAAGAGGGACTTTGGTTGACACATGAAGAATTTAGCAACCATTTATTTTTAATCAGGGGTCAGAGCTGTGAAACAGCAACAGTGAAAAATTGTTTGGTATTGTTGATTAATGGACTTCATCACTGATATTTGTCAAGCCACTATTGTTATCTTAGACTTTTTAAGATAACCAGCAAATTAAATCAAAACAAGAGAAAAACCTTTATGGATTACTGCCATTAAGCCAAATGATTAGAGAATAATTTTTTTTTTACAAATAATTTATTGACAAATTAATTTCCACATAACACCCAGTGCTCATCCCCACAAGTGTCCTCCTCCGTGCCCATCCCCCCTCCCCCCCGATTAGAGAATAATTTTGACTTCTAGTATAAATTTCAAGATAAATTTATCAAAAACACATCAAGCAAAAAAAAAAAAAAACCTTCTAAAGAAAGAAACTGGGATTTTTATCATAGAGGAAAAAAAAAGAATACTTATTTATTCCTTGTTTTAAGATAAATCAAAGTCCTAAACTAATCTACATGGCTATGAGAAATGAATTAAGTCCTTTTAATAGATAGGTGTTATTATTTGACTAATACATCTTCAGGGGATAAAATGAAGAAATATTAAAATGACAAGCCAACAACACTAAATTGAGAGAGATGGCAAAGTGGACGACCAGTCACCTGTCAGTGGACTATTATGTTATGTTACAAACCTCTCCTTGAAGCAATTGGATTCAAACACATTATGGGTTAGATAGGCTTTTGTGGGCTAGCCTGGATATTCAACTGTCATTTATAGCTTTGTTTCCATGGCAAAATGCCTTTGCAAGTTCTAAACAGCAGACTTTCAAATTAACTTTTGGAATATAACCCATTGGCAACTTGGGGACTGCCTGTGCTTTGAATGTAGGTTGTCTATTATAACCAGGACTTTAACTCCACTGAATTGTAAAGGATTTCAAATTAGTTAGAGGAGTTCAAATTAGTTATCTTTCTTTCAAACACAATACCTTATTTAGGAAAAGGGAATTTTTAAAAAAGCTACGCACCTCATGTGAAGAAAAGGCAAATCCAATAACTTTTTCCATTAAAGGTGTGATTATAAGGAAGCAAACATTTTGTCTATAAGAAGAAGGAATAAAATGATGAATTAGAAATTACCTGAGTATTTATATAATGGGAGACAGTATGTGTTGTTCCTTTTGCATAAAGTTTGTCTCTGCAATGCAAAGGTAACACAAAGTAAAGAACTGAGTCGATTATTCTTAAGATGTCGGCTTAAACTTTTCTCACTAATGACATTTGTATACTGTTGGTAAAATTTTCTAGACTAGAATTGTAAAGATTATTGCAGATTATTGAATTAAACAGTATACAAAAAGATGCTGGCAAAGACCTTTAAACGATTACCTGGTGTTAAAACTTGTCTCTTTTCTCAAGGATAAAATGCTTGCTACGAAGGAAAAGGATATAAAACATTTGATTGGATTTTCAGTTCATTATACTTTGTTGAGTAATTTCTTTTTTCCTCTTTAACAAGAGAATAATTGAAATAGGTAAAGCCAAATAAGAAATATTTCCCTCTTCCATCAACTCATACTTTGGTGAAGACTCTAGTTAAACTCATTAAATTGGTAGCTGATAGGTTCAGGAAGCACTCTATGTATTATGTAAATTTCTGGTTTTCTCTCAGCTAGGTAAGCTAAACAATGCTGGTGTCCTTAATAAAGAATCTCTTATTATTTTACCCCTGGAATTTTTGTTTATTTGCTTATTTTATAAAAAAGATTTTTTCCTGACCCATTTATCACATAGGAATAAGTACCATTTATAATGAGCCCTTAAAAACATTTCTTCTATTAGATACCCTAAGTATCTTTTTTTTAACCCTAAGTATCTTTTGAAGTCTTAGCCTGACAATTTGAAAATATTTTTTTATTTACAGTTTACCTGGTGTTTTATTTTTTTGGTTATTTTTCATGTACTTCAATTCGGTATTCTTCATGATGACAATTGAAAGCCGTTTGCCTGGGAGTCAAAAGCTCTGGATGCTCATTCAACAAGTACTTCCTGTGGGCCTTATATATATGCATTTATTGACATTCAGTTCTCTATTAGTGTTTTAATTTCTATTATGATTTTCTCTATAATCCATAGAATTATTTAGGAGTACGTTTTTTTCTTTCCAAACATCTTGAAGTCACATTTTATTCTTGAACTTTAATTTTTTTTAAATCCTGGGCAGAGAACATATTTTATATAATAGCTGTTCTTTTAAGTTGTTGAGCTCTCTTTGATGATGTAACATGTGGTGTTTTTTAAAACGTGTACTTGAAAAGAATGTGTATTTTCCATTTGGTGCAAAAGTCTATTCATATCTATTGGATCAAGCTAGTTATTTTTGTTGTTCAACTCTTAAATGTTCTTATTAATCGTTCCGAGCTTGAGCTTTCAGTTTATTTTATTTTATTTTATGTTAATTAATTAACTAATTAATTTGAGCTCTCAGTTTAAAATCTCCCACTGAGATTGTCAGTTTGTCCATTTCTCCTAGTAATTCAATAAGATAATGCTTTATATATTTTGAAGGGGCTATGTTTTTAGGTATATACATGTCAAAGATCAGTATATTTTCTTGCTAAATCATTCTTTCTTAGTATTATTCAGTCTCTTTTTATCTTGTTGATACTTTGCCTTAAATTCTATTTGGCTCATTTTATTTTTGCAATTATAATTTCTTTCTATTCGTCTGATTTAGCATATACCATTTTTTATTCCTTTATTTTTAATCTTTCTGTGAAGTTATATTTTAGATGTGTCATGTATAGGCAGCATAGAGTTAGGCTTTTTTTATGCATTCTGATTGTTTTATAGACATAATCTATTTATATTTATTGTGATTCCTCTTCTATTTAGACATATTTCTACACTCTGAGTTGTATTTCTACACTCTAAGTTGTATTTTCTTTCTACTATGTTTTCTTTGTTATTCTCCTCCTTTTCTGCTTCCTGAGGGTTAAATTAAGTTTTCCATGTGCCCTATAATTTTCTCTGCTGGCTTGGAGACTATATATTATTTTTCTGCTATACTAATGGATTTATTTATTTATTTATTTCTGTTTCTATCCTCTTATGGAACACAGATTCAGTTTGGCATACTTTAGTATATACAACTCCACTGTTTTCTCAATCCTCCCGTTGTGTTACTAGTTTTATTACCTCTAAAGTTTTAATGTATGTTTAAAAACATAACATGTTTAAATAAAACTAAAAATACACTTATGTGATAATTTATACTCAATTATATTTACTAACATACTTTTTAGCTATTTCTGTGCTCCTTGTTGCTTCTTACAAGTTTGTACTTTCCTACCAGGTTCACTTTTCATTGTGAAATGAAACTTGTACTTTAACAGCTTTGTAGGGAAGGTTTAGGAGGATTTTAGACTGGATTAAATTAAATGGTTCCTAACCATATTGGACCCAGATACATCTTTCCATGGTTATTATTTTGTAATGCTCTCTTTACTTCATGAAGTAAGATACACAGGTAACATAACAATATATAAACTTTCTCAGCAATCAATACAATGCTATAACTGCTATATAATGTATTGGTAAAAAGAAAGTAAGTTATCAAAAAATAATGTACATTTTGATATGTAAATAAACGTTTGAATACGACCACACTAGAAGACATAGTAAAGTAGTCTCATGTGTACATCTACTTATAATATTGAATTCTGGATTTAGAAGAAGTAAAGCAATATTCAATATTGTCAGTATTTTTAATGTACCTTTTATTATTTACCTAACTTACTAGTTATTTTATCTTTTTATATTTGACATTTTAATAAAGAGGCTACACACACATACATACACACACACACACACACTTCTACACACACCTCTGTGCACATCCATTCATAGATTCACAATGAATACAGTGGACACAAGGTATAGGTATGTTGTTATTTAAGACTCAAGTTCCTTTATTGGCCTTGCTATTAG